GGGGGGTGGAGTAAAAAATCTAAGAGGATACTGTAATATTAAATCTAAGCAGAATCTACATGTTTAAGTATAATTGATAATCATAGTAATCAGTAATATATAACAAATATCTGGTAAAGAATCTAGGAAATCAATAAGTTGGTGACTAAAAAAACCAGAATAATAAACCAATCAGAGCTTGTCATTGTGAATGATGATGTCTCTCTAATAATATGAAATTAATATTTATTAATATTTTGTTAATAAAAATTATTACCTTAGATTTTGCTGATAAAGAAACAATTGTCAAATGTCTAAGCTTCTTTTGTTGTATGGGAGACAGTTCAGGTAAAGTAGAAATATTGGCTGAAAACAAAAAACAAAACATGTTTACAAGCTAAGATTATGAACTAAAAAAGTAAAAAAGTGTGTCCTTTCGTTACAGTCCAAGATCATCAAATTTGCCAGGGGCTTTCTTACAGTAATAATGATGATTCACCACAAGAGAATAAATTGGACAAAGGATGAATTAGAAGGCACATTGATAACTTTTACCAAAATAAAAAACACACAAAACTCTCTATACATTCTCCACCATCTTTGTTTTGCCCCTGGAAAGATGGTCACCATATCATCAAAGTAGTCTATAAGAGAACTCTTCAGTAATTAGATTACCTTTGTAATCACTGTAAGTACCAAATGCAAATATGTTGAGTAATTGCCAGTAAGGAGCATCTTCTGTTTTTGATAACTGAAAGATAATTAAAAAAAAGCAAAAACCATCATCTATGGAATGCTGATTGTTGGCTCTTTTCCTTGTTTTCAGGATTTTCCCAAATACTTTGCTTGTAACAAATACATGTAGTTCACCAAGAACAGATAAACACCACAAGCGGGACTTATGTTTTGCTAGCCCCTGTGTCTGCAGCACATTACATCTTGTACAAATTTTGACACTTTTAACAGTTTGACAGACATGTTAACACCACGAATGGGACTTATGTTTTGCTAGCCCCTGTGTCTGTGGCACATTACCTCTTGTACAAATTTTGACAATTTTAACAGTTTGACAGACACGTAAACACCACAAATGGGACTTATAGTGTATGCTATCCCCTGTGTCTGGCATGGCACATTATCTCTTATGTACGCTAGACATCTCTAGATAAAAGTTCGACACACACATGAACACCACAAATGGAACTTATGTATGTTAACTGCAGTTTCTGCGGCATATCTATTTATCTCTGGTACATATTTAGACATCTGTAGATAACAGTTCACCAGATACATGAACACCACAAAAGGAACTTACTAGTATTGTAATGCTAACCTCATTGTCTGCAGCACATTATCTCTGGTGCATATTTTAATATCTCTAGACAACAGTTCACCAGATACATGAACACCACAAATGSAACTTATGTATGCTAATCTCAGCGTCTGCAGCACATTGTCTCTGGTACATATTTTAACATCTCAAGATAACAGTTCACCAGACACATGAACACCACAAATGGAACTTATGTATGCTAATCTCAGCGTCTGCAGCACATTGTCTCTGGTACATATTTTAATAGCTTTAGATAACAGTTCACCAGATACATGAACACCACAAATGCAACTTATGTATGTTAATCTAAGTGTCTGTGGCACATTGTCTCTGGTACATATTTTAATAGCTTTAGATAACAGTTCACCAGACACATGACACCACGAATGGGACTTATGCATGCTAACCCCTATGTCTGCGGCACCTTACCTCTTGCACATTAGACATCTCTAATAGTTCACCAAACACATGAACACCAGGTGCTTCAATGACTTGATTGATGAGAGCTGTCAGACCTGCTCCTCTTGCGCTTTTGGCAAGAAGGACGAATTGTTCCAGCTGATGGCTGTGATGAGCATTGCTATGCCCTTTCGATTCTTTCTCTGACATCTCTATTAAATAATGATAACAATATTATAATGATTTATTACTTATACGGCAATAATTCGCATGTGAATGCGATCAAATGCGCGAACAATAATTATTAAACAATATCCAATACAACTAAGATTAAAAGAATCTAATATAACTTTAAAATTATAAAACACACTTGAAGAAAAATGTTCAAGACTCAAACTAACAGAATGACAGAAGGAAAAGTTAAAACTTGATAAATTTTAGAGGCTAATTTCGAGCAGTTGAAACGTTAAATCATAAAGAAAACCACAACGCTTTTAACATTACATGATGTAAGGACATTATTATGTGGGTAATCTGTATTCTAAGGGTATATTTTAAGAAAAAAAATGTGATTTCTTACCTCAATATTCACGATTTTCCACTTTTGGTTGTTGGAAAGATAGACATTAGTGACCAGGCCACTTTATTTGGATGGTCCTTTATGTTACACAGCATCTCTGCGATAATGGACCTAATGTGGTTAATATGTTTTATAAGATAATCAGAAGACCACTACTCATTTATAATTACATTATACCAAAGAAGCGTTTTACTTGTCCATTAGATATCGGATTAGGATTATTATAGGATTTTTTATAGTTTTTTTTTTTACTTTTTATGTATATGGGACCCGGAAGTGCGTCAGAGCTCCAAATATTACATTACGTCGAAGCCCCTGTCAAAGGGTCTTCCATATAGTGCCGCCAGACATCTTGGTTTTATTTTTATTCGTGGATCGTTCGATTCGATTCGATATATATTTTATTTTATTTATGGCGAATCCTAAGAGGATTCACACTACAGCTTCTGCTCGACTAAAGCAGGACTATCTTCGAATCCGTCGAGACCCAGTTCCTTATATAACAGCCTGTCCTTTACACTCAAATATCTTGGAATGGTGAGGATTTTGACTTAAAATGGATTYCTTCCTTAATTATTTTCTAATTGTTATACTTATTATTTACTTAAATGTTATTATTTGTAACCATTGAAGTCATTATTGAGCATTTTTTCGGTACTTTTAGGCATTACGTCGTACGAGGTCCAGAAAACACTCCCTATGACGGTAAGTTATACACGTATCAAAGCAAAATTTAAGTATTTTTAGAAAAACTCAAGTCATTTCAGCTATTTATGACACGATGGAGCTTATTATTAACAGATATATTGTTGATATTAGAGAATTTGTAGTTTAAACTCGTAAAGGGCTGCCAAATGGGCTGTTTATTACAGCTGTTACAACGTAATTTCAAGAAGACTATACAAGCTACACTTTATGTAAATGGTGTTGAGAGATTACATTTAACCCACAGACAGAGGCTGTCAACAAAAAAGTAGGAAAGTAGGAGCTGAAAGTTGATTAGTTTCATTTGTTCCCTTATCTTGTTGTTTGGAGCTACGTGGTCACGTCAAAGAAGTGTCAATTGTGGTGGGCTTCCTGTGCCACTGAATTTGGTCTTGTACATAGGGTCCTCTTAAAAAGGGTCCCCATAACCTGAGGTTGCCTTAGGATTAGGATATTGATAAGAAAATTGAAGGTTTTTCCAAACTGTTTTAGGTGGGTTTTACCATGGTAAGCTGGTATTCCCCAAGGACTTTCCTTTTAAACCACCAAGGATCTTCATGATCACACCTAATGGGAGATTCAAAGTCAATACAAGGTAAATTGATTCCTGTTATTTTACCTTTTAAAATATCTGAGTTGTAACATCTATGCTCTGATTGGTTTGATCCCCAAATTTTTTAGTGCGAAGCTCCTAAAACTGGGACTACCAATTTGTCTCGCTATCCAATCAGTGTTTAGATCAGAAATAAGAACAATACTGCATGGGTGCTATGTGCAGTACTGTATATTATTAAACAAAAATTGATTGGCAAAATTGTTCAAGCATGTCATGTTGCATAGTGCTTCTCAATGCTTCTCAAGGGTTCTGCCAATCCCCAAGTGTTTTATCACTGCACACTACACAGATATTGTGCAAAAGCAAACTTCTCAACCAATCAGAAAGTAGGATTTATGAAAATTATGTATATGAAGTAGAAGGATAAAAAGGGGTTTATTAATATATATATTTTTATATATAGATTATGTCTTTCAATAAGTGATTTTCACCCTGACACATGGAATCCAGCTTGGTCTGTATCTACTATTTTAACAGGACTCCTGAGTTTTATGGTGAGTCTTACAGTATTAAAGAAATAGGAATTTACTTTTTTGACCAGCAGTGATGCCTGTTGTATAGGAGCTGGAGCAGTAGCAATTGCCATCCCCCTCCCCTCCCCCCAAAGTTTTTCTGGGCTTGTGAATATTGTTGGAAACTATGGTAAGGGTGAAACATATGCATGTGTATTGTTGGTGGGTAAATGGTACATTATCTCTCCTCCCCCCCCCCTAAATGACCAAGACCTTGCTATGCCTTTGAGTTAATTTCTTTAAGGAGTTAAGGGCAGGGATGGTGCAGAAACTTTCTGCAAAGTTTTTGCATAAAAATAGAGTTTAATTCCCCAAGGATTGAAAAATGTATTGTTTTGGTACCCCAACATGGCTGCTGTGAAGTCATGTGGAAACTCTTTCTGCATCATTGTCTTTTTTTAATTTTTAATTTCATTTTTTAATGTTTGTTGTTTGTTTATATATATTTTAGACTGAAACAGCACCAACTCTTGGCAGTATTGAAACATCAGACTTTCAGGTAGAATTTTCTCCTATTTCTTATGTCCTAGGCTTGATAGCAATTTATTCCCAAATCTCAGTGGTATTGTAAATAAGCATAGTACATTGAATTGAACATATTGGATACCTTTTTTTTATTTGTCTATTTTTTTTTAATTTAGAAAAGGCAATTTGCATATGCTAGTGGAGCTTTCAACTTGCAGGACAGAACTTTTTGTGAATTATTTCCAAATATTGTTGAAGTAAGTATCGAACGCGTTTTATTTTTTCAATTTAATTTTATTGAGCTTTGCCATAAACTATTACAAACATACAGCAATGATGCATAAAAAAAAGTTTGTACACACAACATGCACACAATGGCTGGGAAATCACTACAGCATGCAGTATGCCAAGTACATTAGTCCCCTCACATATTACAGATAGAGGAAATCAAATATAACAAACAAAAGTTAAAATGGCAGGGAGACCACAACAGCATGAGCCAATTACTGTGGATTATAGATTGTAGCTTGAACCAGAGCTTTGACCCATTGGACTCACTGAGGTGAAAGACTACGCATTAGCAGTGTATGCGACCATGTCATACTACATGTCTATTTTTAATTATATAATGGTTAATAAAACTCTGCCTAGCCTGCATCACATCCGGAATTTTCTTCGTAAATACGAAGAAAATTCCGGATGTGACGCAGGCTAAACTCTGCCTGGCTCAACAGTTTTCCTTTTGAGCATGTGCCAAGTTGTCTAGCTTTCAAAAACTTGTGGTTAGTGATAAGGTACATACAATGTAGATTACATAAAACCACAATACATCCTACAGCAAAGATTTAGCCCATGACATGCATTGGCCTAACCTTATAACTGGTCACAAATAAGCTAATATCCTATTTGCATTTCATTGTGTGAGGCACTTACTTTAATTAAAGATGATACTGTATTATGAGGGTAGGCTTGCATTCATCAAATTTTGCAAAAGTCAAACATATAATATAATATTTTTCCTTTCTRTAGGAAATTCAAGCAAAACTGAAAGAAAGAGGAGAATTACTTTCATCAGAAAAATCAAGTAATCTTGTACAATCTTCCAGTTTGGACTCTGAGAACATTGCAGGCGGCAACCATGGAATTATGGGCAGCACGTTAGTAAATATCTGTGTCATACTTGGCTTCGCTGCTTTTGCGTACACAGTCAAGTGTGTTTTGAGAGCTGTTGAAAATAGCTAGTAGCAGGAATATCTATAAAAAATCCAGATAATAATAATATTTGGCACCCAAATCACTCACCAAACCCACATATTCCATAATAGTACAGTACTATGTAGTTCTGGTGATGGTAAACATTATATGAAGATGATAATTCTAGGGTGCTGTATCTAATGGACAAATTCCCCTTAAATTATGTCAGAAGTGCCCCTTGACTAATCCATGGAAAATTTTAGGAGGAGAGGAGGAAAATTGATTGCATTGGAGATAAAATTTTAATGTTCACCAAGTATGGTCACCATGGAAATAGTGAGAATGAATGAAGAGGATTGTTGTTGAAGAAAAGAGAATTTCATAACAATGACTGACAAGTGCAAAACGAGGTCACCTGTCATTAGTTTGCAAAAGATATAAGCACATGTTATGTGTTTATTGAAGAAAAGTATAAGAAAATGACCTTTTGTTTTGACCTGAATTCATGCTATCCACCTTTATTTAGAATGAGCAGCCTTGCTCAGCCTTACAAGATGACTCGGTGGCCTCATTTTCGTTTGCTCATCAGCCATTATGGTAATGGTGTACGGAGGTGTCTAATAGCAATGACAATATACATATATGAATTATTAATGTTAGCTGATTAAAAGAAGAATGGATGGAGTATCTATAGATCTATGACTAAGCTATTTTAAAAGGATCATAAGGCAAACATCTCGTTGGTAAATAGGTCATGAATGAATATTAGCTTTGAGAACTATTAAATAACCACTTTCATGTTATGCTGCAGCAACTCACTGAGAAAAATATTGCCCAAAGTATTGCCTTGCAGTTAAGTTTATCTGTAACTATAAAAAAATTTCAACAATTTTATGAACAAATATTACCAGAATGTCAGGTTATGAGAAAAAAAAAAGCAATAAGGGTTATATGAAACACATTTGAAATAATTTTAGTACGCTGTTGTGTTTCATCCAATGCCAGAGGGTTGATCCAGGGGGGGGTATGCCCAAACTCTCTTAACTGCAATCGAACCCATGCATTAAATAAACTATGAACCAGCCTTAGTTAGATAATCATGATTCTATCAGCTAAGAAGCTGGAAATGTCTTACTTTTCTACAGCTTGCCTGTCACAAAATTGAAGTCATTGTTTGATATTGGTTAGTTCAAACCCTGCCTCGGTCTAACCCCTGCTCCAATCAAAATCCTGGTTTTGTGTAGTATCTAGTACCCAGACCTTTCATTAGAAAACTGAAGAGGGTTTGGGTACGAAAATGATGTACATCGATGTACATGCTTTATGACTTCAATACATAACGAATTACTCAATTATACAGTTTCTCATTAATCCCATATAGGTAACTGTCCAATTATTTTCCTAATTGGACAGGTCTTGTTGATATGGAGTTAATTAGGCCCCATTATAATTAATAGGTAATGGAATTTCATGCTCCCCAATCAAGAAATAATTAGACTCAAAAAATTCCTCTGACTGCCAATTTGTCAGTCCTCAGAAYTTTGCTCAGCAGCATGGAGTCCTATTACATATACATATCGAAGTATATAAACAAAAATTACTACAAGTGTAAAAAGAAAATAGTTAATTTTGTATATTATAGATTTCACTTAGTTTGGTGTCCACAAGACCAATAGCCAATGTCTGTTGGGGATCTCCCTTTAGTTTGACACTCAATTTTCTGATTTTAGGCCATGGCTATCATTGCATTCCATACTCGTGTATCCTCTTCTGCTCTTAAACAAAGGAAGGATACTCAAGGAAATGTGTCGTACTGTATAAAGCCTGATAATAGAAGACATTGTACCGAAACTAAAGAGCACTTCAGTAGGAAAAAAATACTTGCTAAAATTGTCAGTGGTTGGGATGTAAAGATATCATGCTAATAGCATGTATGTAAATGAGGGAAAGGGAAAGGACATTCAAACCATTGCGTATTATAAGAAAATAAAATGTATTTGTAAAAAGAGAAAATTCTGGAACCGGTAGTTCTTCGTTTTTATTACGACTACTTTAAAGTGTATATCAAGGGGAGAAAAAAAAATTTTTTTTAATCACTTATATGTGAATAGTGTAGTAGTACGGCTGCAGTATTTTTGTATGTGGTCTTATCTTTTCAAAGATAAAAGCATTTGAAATATCAATATTGGAAAGAATAGAAATTTCGAAAGTCTCACTCAAAGCTTATGCCACACAAAAGGTAATCTCACTAAAAGGGCTACCTGTGGACTTAGAGCTATTGTTCACCGAAACAATAGACCGGTTCACGATAGTCGGTGCATTATGGGTAATCAGGGCAAGATTTCAAAGAAGCGAAGCGAGAACAGTATGTTTTTCGTTGCATTTTACGTGGATGAAGAAACCTCCGATCTATTTCTGATTTTTGACCCGATTGCATTGAGCCACGCATTTCACTGGTTATCAGGGGAGTGGAACACTAATTATTGTTAGCGGCTAAGACTTGTTCTAAATGTTCAAATTTTGATTTWAAAAAATTTGTACATCAACACAAAGCACTCGACTGGGATAAAAACTCTGTTAAAAATAAAACAGAGGATAATGAATTTACAGAAAAAGGTTTTGCTTTTATAATTCATCCCAAGGCAGAAATATAACGGAAAACATAACTTTTCTCGTTTCGCTTCTTTGGAATTTTGCCCTGATTACCCATAATGCACCGACTATCGTGTACCAGTCTATAGTTAAAAGGTTCTACATGTTAAGATATTTTTATCATGCAGTCCCATATATACGTGGCCTATTTACCAAACATGTTTTTATGCTGCTGAGTAGCGCGTATTACTATGATTATTTTGACAGATGGAAAATGCAAATTCATAATTCTTAAACTTCAAAAATATCAATTATGCAAGCTTTCATTGTAAAGAAAATGTTATTTGACTTGACTTTAATAAAAGTCATAGCTATTTTAAAGCAGTTTTCTCATTGTTTGAAGATTAATGTTTTTGTTCTTTACTGAGTTATCAATGAAAAACTATTCCTGCTACTGGGTTTTAACCATTCGCTTAGCGAAACCTTTCGCTCAAAATGGTAAGTACTAATAAATGTATAAATTTAAGCTTTGGTGGAATCTATTTTCTAAGGTTTCTGCTTGCGTATGTAGTTAGGCATTATGCACAAGCTGTATATATTACTTGCATTGTGGGTTTTAAATCGTGACTTTCGAATCGTGAATGTCGATACTATTGAATGCAGCATGGGAAGAGAATTTGGAAGAAATCTTGCAATTTGTTTGGATTATTCTCTTTAAAAAAAACAAAAAAAAAACAAATATATTTGTATTAAAACCTCGGCAATTATTACTATCCCTATTCATTTATTCACCTTTCTGACCAACTTCACTTGATTTATGACTTCCTTTTCTTTGCTTCCTTTTCTATTTCTTTTTAATTAGTTTTTTTTTTTTTCCTTCTTAAATTTACGAGGCAAAATGTATTCTTAAACAAGGCAAAGTCAGTTTTTCCACTTTGATTTGAAATTCATTTTACGGCAAGCTAACTTCTTCCAATTCAAGCAGCGGTTAATCAATACACTCTCTTGTTTCTATTTAAGTCTCTCCGCTAAGAAAACAAATCGGCAAAGAAAACAGACAAAAAATGGTATCAATTATTAATGATGAATTGTAACAGGTCACTAGGCAACAGCAGTTGAACTTCCATAACGGGTCTGTCGGGCCGTGCAATCCGTATTGGACTATAGTTACACTGTAAAAACAAATTTTATTGTGTCGAAAAAAAGTTTAAAAATCGAAAAAAAAACTTGTGAAAGAGTAATAAAAAGTACTCCTTTGTCACTCCAGTTCGTCTTCCTTCTTTTTTTAATTTGTTCGCTAATTCAATATTAAGTGTGCTACATTTTGCACTTAAGTGTAAGCATTTACCTATTAATATTATGGCCAATATGCCACCAGCCAATGAGAAACCAGTTTGAAACTGAAGCCTTTTGCATTAACACTGACTAAATCTACAAACACAAGATAGTATTTTGAGTTCATTTGACGCAGCGAAAGAATACGACGAGGCTAGTATCTACTAAGTACTTCCTCAGCTTCAAGAAGAATACCATGGGCCCAGATGCATTGGCTTTGGTAATTTCAATAATTCTTATAAATGTTTCAGTCCGCGGCGATTGCTTTTAAGATGGAATTGTACCTAGCTATACTTAGTATAGGATCAGTAGAAAAAACATAATTCAGTAAAGATATTCTTGTTGCAGTATTCATCATATATCCTTGAGGAGTCTTCCTATCCGACTTGAGTGCATTATTTTTAAAAAAAATTGTTTTCATGTGTCGTTTGGAGATGTTGAGCCGATGCTTTTCCTACTATTTTAATTTATAATTTATCATTTTTAAGTGTATGTAGTATCTTTTACGTTTACGCCCGTTAGCGTACGTCCACTACAAAGCATTATTTTTTACAAAAGGCATGACGAAAATATTCCAAAATAGGAAGAGGGTTGACAGCAAAGAATCAATGACCACTCCAAAAACGTCTAATAATAGTTCTAAAATATAACGTTGAATTCGAGTTAGCTGTGTCCAGAATGAGATCAACCTACCAGTTTTATTACGTCGATCTGTGAGTTAGCTATACACTGATATGAGATCAGCCAAGAGTGTTGTTTCAATGTATCGATAACTGATATTTGAATGCTTTTTAAAACGTAACTTTATTTTTGCTTGGGATACTGCGAAATCTCATTTTTATTTCGTTGTGTCCTGTTAATTTATCTATTTTTTTTATTTTCACATATTTAATTTTAAAAAGAGATATCGACAACACTTTCCTTTTTTTCTATTTTTCTATGATAAAGAGCGTTTTTACATTTCATTTTATTTAATATAAATATTTTTTAAATTACCATTTGTTTTAAAGCAGAATTGAATAAAATGAAGAACATAAAGAAAAATGAATCTCATTTGAAATAAGTCAGCAGGAGAGAGTAAATAAGTTCTTTTGAGAAATTAAAATAAGAATAAATTTCTTGTATCGAAGCTACAAAAATATAGAAAGGATATAAAAAACAATTGGATTGTGAAAAAAGTTTTGGCAATCTTTCGATTATATTCAGAACGCCACTTTGGAGGGCCTTTGTTCTTTTTATTTTTTAACTTCAAAGGGGGTATCTAGTCAGCCAATCTATCCCCGCCTCGATCCCTCCTTTTAAAAAGCACGAAGAATATACCTTTGGCCGACTCTCTCAAGTTTGCATATTTTTTTTATTTGTTCCTTTACAGACTGAACACCTGACAGAGACAGAGATTCGAGGTATTTAGCTATTATTATTATTATTATTATTATTATTATATTATCATTATTATCATTATTATTATTATTGAATTTAATCTCCCCGTT